GTATTTTCAATTATTTCAAATTGTGAACAAATTATATAGTTATACAATCAGCAAAAAATCAAATTTAATTTATATTCTTGGTCTTTTACTAGAAACCAGCATTGTTTGTCTTTGCTAGTGTAACTGTATATAAATGTTCCCTGTTCACTTGATAAAAAACTCCTAAATTGATGTGTTTAGGTTGTTGCAATCTTCAGTTCTTCTAATCATGTCATCCTGGCCAATCAAAATTGCTCAAACGTTAGTCTGACTTTTATTTTGCACTTTTGCACACTTTTTCTTTAGAGAACTCAGTTTTACTACGTTTGTATGTAGAAAATGCAAGAGGAAATATAACTTCACATTCAGTTACTTAATATACAGCCTTTTGCAAAAATTATGAGAMTTGTTGAAATATCTAAATATCATAATATCAAGTGCATGATCCGCGCGATGCCCTTATTAGTCCCTTGTCTTTCTTGTTTAGTTTTTTTTGGCGACGTACTTATCCGTAGTTCTGAACATTTTCTCGATGTCAACAATGAATTATTCTAGCAAACACGCGTGTTCCGGACAATATATGAATATGGATATTATGATATTTAGATATTTCAACAATTCTCATAATTTTTGCAAAAGGCTGTATACTAAGTAATACGATATATAATTATATACTAATGTGATGGCATGATGTTTATCTGGGCATGAAGCATGTATGAATGTTCACTTGTGACAGTTGTCGCAAATCAATCAGAAACTGTTTTTTGATTGCTGTCTTAGTTCTGAACCTCAATTGTTAGGTATGTTKTGTTTTAAAGGAGTATCTATCGTTCATTCTGATTGTTTCGTGATGACCCATTTTAGAAAACGTTTACAATACTAAGAACTGTATGCTGAAAAGTGCATTCCAAGACTAATGTGCAATACTGCTAATAAACTCCATGTGAGCTTCTTTCAAAATGACAATACTCCATTTTACAGACTTTCCGAGCACCATCTTGAAAGATAGCCAAACCTTTGCATCAAAGTGAGACAAGAGTTCAGCCTGCAGTCATAGATACCTTGTTTTCACACCGAAGACAATTATTCACAGGAATCTGTCATTGTACTGTAAGCTCAACTGCTGTCTCACTTTGATGCGGAAGCTTGGCTTCCTTTCATGATGGTGACGGGAACTGTAAAATGGACCAGATTTTTTCTGTATTTTTAAATTATTGGTTTTGTCTTGTACAATTATTTTCTTTTCTTCTGCATGGTTCAGGTTGTCAGGTTGTATATGTATAACCATTTTGTGTTATATAATTTTTTCAAGGTTCATCGTGTCTCCATCTATTCTTCACTTTATTATCTGCATTTTTTGGTTTGCAGTCTGCATGTCATTCAGACCTTGTTAGTATTTTATAAAAGGTTTCATAGTTAATTGTTCAAACTTGTGTGTTTGCAGTTAGTTGAACTTAGTGACATGGCATGCATGAAACTTAGTCAGGAAATCGAAAAAATCACTATTCCAGGCAAGAAAGCGCTGTACAGACTTTACGGAGCTGAAGGTTTGTTGACACTTTCTTTAAGTGAGTTYATAGTTAAGGGGAATGGTTATGAAGGCCGGCAAACGTCAAAAGACCAACMCATTGTTTAGTTTTTTTATGTTGAACAGTCATGAACATGGCRGACAACTGGTTTGTTGRCACTTTCTTTAGTCAAAACAGTATGACAACATTATAAGAAAATTTTTAACATATGGTGAGTTTCACCTCARAATCCAYTGACCAAATCGTGGCAACACAAAATTCTCACCACCTAAGAGATWCCCAAMTAATTTGGATTGGTTGACTGATACCATTCATTGATACCATTTTGAYTGTTTTTGGCTCGGCTGTTTTATAACCACAGGAAGTCCACTTCTAGACATTCTTCAACAGAACTCAGAGCCTCCACCCAGTGTAGGCCAAAGAGTATTATGTAGACATCCATTTGCAGAAGCAAAACGTGCTTATGTATGCCCATCTCATGTGGAATCCCTGTTGAAATTGTACTGGAAAGATGGAGAGGTAWTTTTACTTGATAAACATTTCACTCAAGTTTTCCTTCCTTTGYCAGTTGAYAACTGCGGTTATTGCACTGTTCAAAATAAGATAAATCAATATGGAGGTAGGRTAGACGCATTCMCCCTGGATCAGTCTCTCCTCCTTCAACTTTTTGGTGGAAAACAAAGGACGCGTTTAAACTGATCCAACTTCAACTTTTTCTGAAATACAAAATCATGGYGCATTGTGGTCTAGTTYAGTACAAACAACGCCATATTTGGCAGCATGAACAAAAGATGTTTGTACCGAATATTGACTGCAATGCAAACTGCCAGAAAAGGTCTACGTTTCAAACGTCGTTCGTTTCAAAAGCGTTGAAACGTGTTACGCCGGTCGTCATCTAGTGCTGACATACTGTTGTCTGTTTTATAGATATGTTGTTCTCTACCCAGTCTAAAAGAAATTCAAAATAACTTGAAGACGTCACTACAGTCATTAAGACCAGATCACCTTCGACCACTCAACCCAACTCCTTATAAGGTATGGTTTTCAAAAACGATTGGGTAGTCTCCTCTGCAGGCAGCACTTCATTTTTCCCTTTTGGGATCCCTTTGGATTATCTTGACCGACCGTTGGCCTTGGGCCCTCCAAGAAATGAAGGGATCTCCTCTTTAATTTATTATGCCGGATCACTATGTCTTCCTCGGTCATATTAAGTAAGACAGGAAGCCCAAGAGTAGGAAGAAGAGCGGAAAGGACGAGAGAAGCCTGCGGAGGAGGGTTCAAGGTTTTGCTCAGTTTAACTGCATGTTCCGCTGGGGAAATTATACTTCCTTTATTACTGTAGAAACYTATCGGCGTAACAGAGGCTTCAACTTCAAAAACATTATGTCAAGGGATGTGGTGATGGAGAAGGAGGGACCCTTTGTAGCCATGGCATTGAATGTGGTGGCGGCGCATAGTTAAGTGTGCCCAGCCTCTAAGGTCCCAACATGATAATAATCAACATCACCCAGCAACTACTTTCTTCAGTGCATTAAAAATGAAAAACGTCTTTTCTAGGTTTCATTGAGTGAAAATCTATACCTCTTCATGCATCAACTCTGGTTAGAGCACATGCCAATTGGTGAGCTATCTTAGGCAAGCTCGGAAAGACATCAGATATATACAATACTCAAGTGATGACGTCACAAAACGAAAATGTTTTTAAATTTTCCCCCCATATTCTGAAAGTGAATCATTTTTAATGCATCCTTGCTAAATATGAGTGTCTTAGTGGCATGTATAGCGGAGATACAAGCGATTTTATGGTTGGGTGACCACATACAAACGCTTGTAAATTTGGTCTTGTTCCTTTGACGCTGAAATTTGGTAGATAGCTACTTTTTTCCTAGTCTCCTCGCAGCCGTGTTTAGTTTTGGTCACGCGTCACGCAAGAGGTTGCGTGACGCGTGACCGAAACTAAACACGGCTGCGAGGAGACTAGTTTTTTCCATGCTCTTTAAAGGGCTACTTGGACGAAAATTGCGAAACATTAGAAAAGACTTGGAAATCAAATAGACCTATCCATATGGGTGTAATAATCATGAAGCAACAGATTTCAAGAAAATATTCATGCAAATCCTTAATAATTTGGGCAAAAAATGTTGGAGTAGATGACGTCATCTACTCAATCCTTTTGTTCTTCCATCTTTTKAATCAAAATTTCTCTGATGTGGGATAATGCCAAGACAAATATTTTCCCGCAATTGTTTTTAATAGATATAAACGAGTCATATATTTGTATTGCTTGAAGTTTTGAAATAAGGCCATTTTCATGCAAGTAGCACTTTAAGGATATTTCAATGAATCCTAAAAATTCGAAAAAAAAAGTATTTTTGTGACGTCACACTTGAGTACTAAATCAAACAATATTTAATTTAGTATAACTGTCATTTGAAATTATGGGACACTAAGGGGTCAAAATGCACATTTTTAATAGTAGAATTGTACAAAAAATTGACAATATATCATACAAAGAGTTAACTATTATGTGGTTTGTTCTGATAATTCCTGAGAACAACATGAAAATCAGAAGAAAACTAATGATCAATGCAGACACATTGACATTTACAATGCAGCAAAAACAATACTCTAAGATATAGCAGTTCATACCAAAACCATTGTAGAACAATATACCGGGCACACTGCAACAAACCCAGCAAAACACCCATTGCAATGAAAATTCGTTGTTAGCCGACAGCAACTTTGATAATAGACCAATCCCGCATTCGCTTGGATGAACACGGAACAATGGCTTCATTTCGAGGCTGGARTTTTATCTTTTGTCGAAAACTCCAGYCTCGAAATSAAGTGATTGTTTCGTGTTCATCCAAGCGAATGCGGGATTGGTCTATTAGAGTAGGTTTAATCATTCCAGTTCAGTTGTTTAATTTTAATTTATATCATGGAATGCAAATCAACTACAGTAGGAAGATAGAGTGACGATTAATTAACTGCAGTGGGGGGTAGGGTACTACTGAATCAACGTTAGGGGAGGGATGTTGTGRGCCTTCAAGGCTTMAGTGATGATTCCTCACTGTCATAAGTGTCAGTCCKTTGCCATGCTGATCGACTGTGTAGCAGTGTATTGTACAGTATTCCTGCTACTCCCGCTCCAACCATCGGACCACACCAATATACCTAACGAACAAACTTATCACGTTAAAGGGCACCSGTATGACRTGCGAGGYGCGAATTATGTCAATTATCTGAATGAAGAAGGATATAGATCTGAATAAAGATATAAGAAATATATTGAAAGTGGTCCGTTAATTCCCTACCGACCCCTCCCATGGACTTACCCAGTGGGATTCCCACATCTTGGACAATACCGCTGGACCAAGAGATCGTGCAGGATTCAAACCTGCTCCTGTTAGAGGAACCTAAAACGACCATATATGAAACTATTGTTGATGTCTTGAGATTGGTAGTGTAGCTCGATGTTGTATATGTGTAGTATATTTAGTAAAAAGTAGTATATCGTGTCTGGTCATCAAAAGTAAAAGTATAGTGATGTGAACTTACTGCTATAAGATAACAGACAATCGTAGCCAGACCTACAGCTACAGACACGTCAAGACGAGCGTGTGGRTCGTACTTCACTGCRTCAAGTGTAGCAAGAACAGCRAGAACAAGGAACARAGTTAAAACTGCTTCAGTTCCCACGGCTTGTAATGATGATGTGCCCGATGCTGGGATGGTAGCGCCAAGGATCCCGCGGGCGTGTTCGGGACTCATGACACGAAGAAGTGCAACTCCTGTAATGGCTGGTGATTGGATATTACATGTTCAGGGCTCGAAATAACGACCAGACATATGCAGGACAAGATGTCCTTCCAAATTCATGTCGAGTTTTGAAAGGAGAAAAACTTTATTACTATTATTTTCCTTTAATAAATAGGTTTTTGTATCAATATAGATTGTCAAGCATTTTAATGGATGTAAAAGATTTTTTATGGGAATTGAGAGTGTGGCAGGTCAATCTGTCCTTTCAAAACCCGATTTGGCCGGTCATCTAGCGAATTTGGAAGGACGTTGTCCTTTGACCAGCCGTTATTTCTAGCCCTGCATGTTKTAAGTGATTTAACTAGAGAGTTTATACTTGAGTTGTGCGTGTTTATGATCTTTTTGAAATTTCACTGGACATGCTCATACGTCGTGGTACCGTCGCCTTGAACCAATTCAAATAGGTTGAATTTKACTTCGAGACGGACTTACTATKAAAGTAGTAGTCTCCTTTGCAGCCTCACCTGGAAAGGAGGCTGCGAAKGAGACTAGACAGAGGAGATCGGATGAAGAGTCTGCTAAAAAGCGCGCKTCCATAGTCCTCCGTTTTTGTGTAGTAAGACTTATTCTCTCATCCTAACTTTACTCCTTCCCTTTTTTCCCTTCTCTTTCTTAGTATTCTAAAACATTGTGCAATTGATTTACTTTGGATGATGAGAAAATAATGAATACTACGTACTTCACTTTTGCCTAAAATGGGTGCATTTTACTGAATATGCGCACATTTAACATACACTGCAGATAAATTCTGACATGAAATATAATTTCATTTTTTCGATCTGTATTGAGTAAAAATACAATTTAGAATAAAAAAAAACACATTAAATACCTCCAAAGCATTGAACCACTATATAGATGGCCATTGCAACCAAACCAGTGTCCCCTGACAGAAATGCAGCGAAAGAAACGCTTGGGTTAGCGTGTACCAAAGGCTTACAAACCCAACGAAAAGCCTGTGTAACCAGTGAGCTCGCTAATCCAGCAGCAAGAGATATCTTCAAGCTACTAGGTGTTCCTTCCCATCGGAGAGACGAACCAGAAACAGCAAAGACAAAAAATAGTGTTGCAGCGTATTCGGCGAAGGCAGAAACCCACAAATGTCCKGTGAACACTTCTCGTGCTCCCACTGTRGAAATAAAATTCGTTTACGTTTTACAAAAGATCTTTTATCTAAAGCATAAACGCATATCTCATTTAAAAAAGTAATATAGTTCCTTGTCATTCTATATTTATTTTGATCAGTTTCAGGTATAACTTCGGTCACAAAGCCGCAAAACATCTTGAAACGTATACAGGGACCTCTCAAAAACTAGTCATAATTGAAATGTCAAAAATAATAAAAATGAAACTTTTACCTTTCAGTTTTCGACATCGAATCATAGTTTTAGAGCTACAAGCGCTTTTAAACTGTGTCAATGTTTTCTAGTCCACCCGATAAACTTCGTGAACGTGGAATGTGTTTTGTCACTGCAAGAACAGTTCATAACTTTGAAGACAAAGCAAAGTTTGTTGATTTTTGAAACGAAGAATAAACAAATTTAAAAGGATGTGTATTASTTTCACTGTGGCTCACGTTCTGCTTTGACATGTTTGATTTTGAACTTAATACATGAAAAGATAAAAAAAACTTGTAGTTCTTCACCCTATTTGTATGTTGACAAAGAAATTCTGAAATTTGTACATCAAATTAAACTATTGTTGTAATGTGGTGCGCACCATAAAGAGAAGGTCAGAGAAGTTAAGGAATATGATTGAACGGATTTTTTTCTTCTGGCTAAAGGGCTACAATGAACGTTTTTAAAGCGGCAGACTTGTAAAGAGATGTGATTCATATAGACATTACGTTACGTTTGGAAATCTTTAAAGTCTGTACTTGCCACCACAGTCGCCATTTTGAATTCATATGCAGTTAAGATGGCGGAYACGCGTCGTTTTTAAGTGTTTAGTTATATTTAGTTTTGCTTTTGTTTATGATAATTTTCAAAGACTTTTTGAAAAAGGTCGTTAAATTTTCCAAATTGATGAGACAAATGAATGTTACACACGGGATTACATACCGAGCTAAAAATTGCAAGATTTTCTTTGATAAGCTGCAAAACAAGAAAGTGGATTGAGTTTTTAAACGTTTTTTTTTTTATATTATAGATGGTACAAGATTAAATCATTCTTAATGCTGTACAATTAGTACAATCGTCTAGCCATCCATCACCATGGGATTCAAGATGGCTGCCGTTTTGAAAGTTCTTAAAATCCATGTAGTCGCATAAATAATATAAAAGCAATTAAAAGCACTAACATGACAGATTAAAGTGCATAAGATTTTTATTAAAGTACTTGACCTCCCAAACGCTAAGTTCACGCATGCGTTAAAAGGTCATCGTCTACACCTGTAAACTCTATCAACAAACAGGTCTCCATGAATCCTTATCAGGCAAACTAACATCTTTTGGCCTCTTGAATCTTTTTTACTATGAAAAAAACAAAGAAGGACCCAAGAAAGCGCTTATGGGCGGCCAGCATCTTCTGTGTTATATTCATGGTTGCGGAATTTGTTGGTAAGTTATCCTAAACTCTCTCCTTTACCTGATTTAATCACAATTTACACACTATTTAGCGATTATTCAATTCTTTTTCCTACCTGATTAGTTAATTAGTGAATTTAATTGACTTATAATTCGTTGGAGACATCGCCAATCAAATATAATGTAGTTTATTAAATTATAAGATTCATTAGATTGGTGCAGTTCAGGTCTAGTACGAAGATTCATGTAATTACCTGTTACAAGTTGACGCTACAATAATTTTTTTATTCTTTCCACACAGTATGTTACCATGAATTGTTTTTCTTTTATTTTCTACGTCAAATGAATTCCTACCCGCACATGACGCAAATTAACGATAACATTGAAGACGTAGCTGTCATTTACGGTTGCAAGTCATTTAGTTTATTTGTTACTTCTTCAGTAAAGCTACGCAAGAATACTTTTCTCTGAAAACACATTTTAGAGCACTGGAAACCCTTGTGTAAAAACATAACATGAAAAATGAGAAACRCTGCTAAACTTCAACAGCAACAAATTGAATTACGCATAAAATGGTACACATATAGACCTTACATCCACACTAGCTTTGCAACTTGCAAGAATACTTTGCTAATTAGATGTATACGGTAAGCTATGAAGGATGGTCTGCGTTGGCCTTANATTTGGTAGATAGCTACTTTTTTCCATGCTCTTTAAGGATATTTCAATGAATCCGAAAAATTCGAAAAAAAAAGTATTTTTGTGACGTCACACTTGAGTACTAAATCAAACAATATTTAATTTAGCATAACTGTCATTTGAAATTATGGGACACTAAGGGGTCAAAATGCACATTTTTAATAGTAGAATTGTACAAAAAATTGACAATATATCATACAAAGAGTTAACTATTATGTGGTTTGTTCTGATAATTCCTGAGAAAAACATGAAAATCAGTAGAAAACTAATGAACAATGCAGACACATTGACATTTACAATGCAGCAAAAACAATACTCTAAGATATAGCAGTTCATACCAAAACCATTGTAGAACAATATACCGGGCACACTGCAACAAACCCAGCAAAACACCCATTGCAATGAAAATTCGTTGTTAGCCGACAGCAACTTTGATAATAGACCAATCCCGCATTCGCTTGGATGAACACGGAACAATGGCTTCATTTCGAGGCTGGARTTTTATCTTTTGTCGAAAACTCCAGYCTCGAAATSAAGTGATTGTTTCGTGTTCATCCAAGCGAATGCGGGATTGGTCTATTAGAGTAGGTTTAATCATTCCAGTTCAGTTGTTTAATTTTAATTTATATCATGGAATGCAAATCAACTACAGTAGGAAGATAGAGTGACGATTAATTAACTGCAGTGGGGGGTAGGGTACTACTGAATCAACGTTAGGGGAGGGATGTTGTGRGCCTTCAAGGCTTMAGTGATGATTCCTCACTGTCATAAGTGTCAGTCCKTTGCCATGCTGATCGACTGTGTAGCAGTGTATTGTACAGTATTCCTGCTACTCCCGCTCCAACCATCGGACCACACCAATATACCTAACGAACAAACTTATCACGTTAAAGGGCACCSGTATGACRTGCGAGGYGCGAATTATGTCAATTATCTGAATGAAGAAGGATATAGATCTGAATAAAGATATAAGAAATATATTGAAAGTGGTCCGTTAATTCCCTACCGACCCCTCCCATGGACTTACCCAGTGGGATTCCCACATCTTGGACAATACCGCTGGACCAAGAGATCGTGCAGGATTCAAACCTGCTCCTGTTAGAGGAACCTAAAACGACCATATATGAAACTATTGTTGATGTCTTGAGATTGGTAGTGTAGCTCGATGTTGTATATGTGTAGTATATTTAGTAAAAAGTAGTATATCGTGTCTGGTCATCAAAAGTAAAAGTATAGTGATGTGAACTTACTGCTATAAGATAACAGACAATCGTAGCCAGACCTACAGCTACAGACACGTCAAGACGAGCGTGTGGRTCGTACTTCACTGCRTCAAGTGTAGCAAGAACAGCRAGAACAAGGAACARAGTTAAAACTGCTTCAGTTCCCACGGCTTGTAATGATGATGTSCCCGATGCTGGGATGGTAGCGCCAAGGATCCCGCGGGCGTGTTCGGGACTCATGACACGAAGAAGTGCAACTCCTGTAATGGCTGGTGATTGGATATTACATGTTCAGGGCTCGAAATAACGACCAGACATATGCAGGACAAGATGCCCTTCCAAATTCATGTCGAGTTTTGAAAGGACAAAAACTTTATTACTATTATTTTCCTTTAATAAATAGGTTTTTGTATCAAGAAAGATTGACAAGCATTTTAATGGATGTAAAAGATTTTTTATGGGAATTGAGAGTGTGGTAGGTCAATCTGTCCTTTCAAAACCCGATTTGGCCGGTCATCTAGCGAATTTGGAAGGACGTTGTCCTTTGACCAGCCGTTATTTCTAGCCCTGCATGTTTTAAGTGATTTAACTAGAGAGTTTATACTTGAGTTGTGCGTGTTTATGATCTTTTTGAAATTTCACTGGACATGCTCATACGTCGTGGTACCGTCGCCTTGAACCAATTCAAATAGGTTGAATTTKACTTCGAGACGGACTTACTATKAAAGTAGTAGTCTCCTTTGCAGCCTCACCTGGAAAGGAGGCTGCGAAKGAGACTAGACAGAGGAGATCGGATGAAGAGTCTGCTAAAAAGCGCGCKTCCATAGTCCTCCGTTTTTGTGTAGTAAGACTTATTCTCTCATCCTAACTTTACTCCTTCCCTTTTTTCCCTTCTCTTTCTTAGTATTCTAAAACATTGTGCAATTGATTTACTTTGGATGATGAGAAAATAATGAATACTACGTACTTCACTTTTGCCTAAAATGGGTGCATTTTACTGAATATGCGCACATTTAACATACACTGCAGATAAATTCTGACATGAAATATAATTTCATTTTTTCGATCTGTATTGAGTAAAAATACAATTTAGAATAAAAAAAAACACATTAAATACCTCCAAAGCATTGAACCACTATATAGATGGCCATTGCAACCAAACCAGTGTCCCCTGACAGAAATGCAGCGAACGAGACGCATGGGTTAGCGTGTACCAAAGGCTTACAAACCCAACGAAAAGCCTGTGTAACCAGTGAGCTCGCTAATCCAGCAGCAAGAGATATCTTCAAGCTACTAGGTGTTCCTTCCCATCGGAGAGACGAACCAGAAACAGCAAAGACAAAAAATAGTGTTGCAGCGTATTCGGCGAAGGCAGAAACCCACAAATGTCCKGTGAACACTTCTCGTGCTCCCACTGTAGAAATAAAATTCGTTTACGTTTTACAAAAGATCTTTTATCTAAAGCATAAACGCATATCTCATTTAAAAAAGTAATATAGTTCCTTGTCATTCTATATTTATTTTGATCAGTTTCAGGTATAACTTCGGTCACAAAGCCGCAAAACATCTTGAAACGTATACAGGGACCTCTCAAAAACTAGTCATGATTGAAATGTCAAAAATAATCAAAAGCAAACTTTTACCTTTCAGTTTTCGACATCGAATCATAGTTTTAGAGCTACAAGCGCTTTTAAACTGTGTCAATGTTTTCCAGTCCACCCGATAAACTTCGTGAACGTGGAATGTGTTTTGTCACTGCAAGAACAGTTCATAACTTTGAAGACAAAGCAAAGTTTGTTGATTTTTGAAACGAAGAATAAACAAATTTAAAAGGATGTGTATTASTTTCACTGTGGCTCACGTTCTGCTTTGACATGTTTGATTTTGAACTTAATACATGAAAAGATAAAAAAAACTTGTAGTTCTTCACCCTATTTGTATGTTGACAAAGAAATTCTGAAATTTGTACATCAAATTAAACTATTGTTGTAATGTGGTGCGCACCATAAAGAGAAGGTCAGAGAAGTTAA